ATTTCGAAAGCGGAAATCACTCTGTTTCTTCTTCCTAGTTGTAGATAGTAGTTCTAATTAATCCTTGCAATCAGAATTCAACATGTTCTACTTGTGGTCAATTCATGAAACTAAAAAGAATTAAAGTTGAGGTATGTCTATCTAATAGTAAAACTTTTCTTGTAACTACTGTTTTTATATAATTTAACAAGATTCAAAGTTGTCGAATTTTTATTTCTGAAAATTAACTGAATCTTGATGTGCAAAGTTTTGTATTTGTGCAAACAAAAAAAACCATCATACCATATTTTTCTTCTTCTTTTTTTTCGTTTGTTCCGTATTTGTCATTCGAAATGGTCGTTCAACATAAAATAAATCTTGTGTCCAAGTTAAATTTTTTCTACTGTCTTCTGTTGTACTATTTCTCCAATCTTTTGTATGTCCATAAATATGACTCAAAAACACACGTTGATCAAGAATGACAAACTGTTTGTCGTCGTGGCAATGAATCATCGACATTAAAAATCTAACAAATAATCTAAAGAATATGTGACGTGGCAAAATTTTTAATTAAAAAGAAGAAAAAACGAAGTTGTTATTGTTTTTTTTTCATTTTAACCATCATCATCATGTTTTTTTTTTTTGAAATAAGAGAACAGAAGATACAAAGAAACCAAAAAAAAAAGAACGAAAAAGAAAAGAGACATATGTTGTTATACAGCAAAATGAAGGACAAATGTTTTTTAAACACAGTTTAATATTTCCTTCGTTTTGTCTAAATTTTTTTCCAAGGCATTTATCTTTCAAATAAACACAATGACTAAACAATAAAGAGAAACAATCTAGCAAATTGACAAAAGAAAAAAAAACAGAAAGAAAACATATATTCATATATATGTGTCTAACTAGAAGATAAAGGGAAAAGAACAAAACACACGTAGGTTGTTTTTTTTTTTTCTTCTAATATATGTAATTGAAATATATGTTCAAGAACACTAATAAATTCCACTGACTAAATTCAAGATAAAAGTCAGAGAATTGACTTTGACAAAACAAAGAAAAAATGATGCGCAACGAGAATAAAGAGAACAAAAGAAAATCAACATATACAAAAAAAAAAAAGAAAAAGAAGGAAAGCAAAACTGAATGTATTTAGATATTCATTTATTTTTTTTTGTTTGTGTTCATTTACGTGGTCGTAATTTTCGTAAATATTCTTCACTTGAGTCCGGTGTTTTCGATGTTGGTGTTTTTTTATTACCACTTGTTCGTGCTTTTTTAGGTGGTGTATGAACAGTATCACTTCCAGTTTTAGTTGTTGTTTCGTTTCCTTTGCGAACATCAACATCCATTTGTTCGTCATCATCAGATGTTGTTGTTGTTGATTTTTTACCTTTTGGTGTTGCTTTTTTCTTTTTCGAAGCACTAGGTGATGGTGATGATGATGCTTCACGTTTTTTACTTGTTTTTGCTGATGTTCTTGGTGTCGTCATACGTGGTGATGGAGTTTTCTTTTTTGTTTTACCACTTTCGGTTTTATTTTCGTCTTCTTCAATATCGGATCGAACTGCTTCTTGATCACTTCGAGGTTTAACTTCTTCAGTTGAAGTACTACCTAAAAGAAGAACAAAAAAAAATCATACAAAATTATACAGTAGACTTAAGAAGAATTCCTACTATTGGGTAGAAAGTTATTATATGAATTTTAATCTTTTCACCTGATATTCAGATTACAAATAGAGCTTGGTAAATGCTGATCGTAAGCAACAACGAAAGGTAGATTAGTCTTAATGGAAAAACATTTATGATGAAAACAATGGTTTTTTTGCCTTGAGGACCCGAAAAGGCTTTATTTGACACTTTTCTAATTTTCTACTATTTAAATACGTTAATCTCTATTTTTCTTATGAACAAGTAAAAATCGGTATGTCTATATTATATCACAGATAGGGTACTTCAATTCACTGTAATCTTGAAGTGTAGGAAGCCTTCATTGTCAGGAACGGTCTCAGTTTGGATTACTTCTTCATATATGGCTACAACCGTGAAATTTGGCGGGAAAACTTGATCAAAGTATGGCACTCACAGGAGAAAATTTCAAAGCTAATGGTGAAAATTAGCTGAAGTTACAGCTCGTTTTCTGACACTTACTCTCAACTCTAATATGAAGATAGCTTTATAAATCAGATAAACAAAAATCATTTGATATGAAGTTTGAATTGGTGATAGAAACTACACTGAGCCATCAAATGAAGAATCTATTGTCCTGAGGGTTTTTGAGAACAGAATTCAACATATTCTATTTGTGTATAAAATTAAAAATGATTCATGTTCAGTTTTTTTTTCATTTCGTAACAAGACTTTTCTCGACTACTGCATATTGAAAAACTTCTATTACCTGATGTTGGAGTTGATTGTGTGGCCTCTTTTGGTATTGCTTGACGTTTAGTACGTTTTGGCGATGGAGAGGATGCTTTTTGACTTGTTGTTGGTGTCTGAATATCTTCAGTAGTTTGTTTTTCTTCTTCATCTGTTGTTAAAACTGGTTTTTTAGCACGTGTTGAATGACGTGTTGGTGGTGTTGATACTGCAGGTGGTTTAGCTTTACCACGAGGAGACTATTTTAATCAAAAACAATAACAGCATATTTAAAAAGAATGAAAAAAAGAAATCCTTACTTTTGTTTTGCGTTCTGATGTTGCAGAATCAACTACAGTAGTTGCCTCAGGAGCTGTAACTGATGCAGAAATATCTTCATTTGATTTCGATGTTGTTTCAATAGGAGGACCAGAAGAAGAAGCATTATCAACATTAGTTGTTGATGTTGATGATAGATCTTCTTTAGCAACATCAGTTGTTGTTGATAATGTAGGTTCAGGTTCAGTTGGTGTTGGTACATCAACTGGTGGTGTAACTGTTGATGTAACATTATCCGTTTGTTCATTTGATGGTTCCGGAATGGATTCCTTTTGACTTGATTTTTCAATTGTTTCAGATGTTTCTGATGCTGAAACAGTTTCTTCCGTTGGATTAACATTAGTTATAGTTGTTGCATCAGTTGATGGAACTTCGTCAACAGTTGCTTTTTCAGTTTGTCCATTAACATGTACATCAGCTACATCAGTTGTACCAGTACTTTCTTGAACAGATTCTTTAGTACCTGAACCTTCATGATCATTAGTTTTATTATTTGTTGTATCGTTTTGTCCATTAACAACTGGTTGTGGTGATGTTTCTAATTTGTCAACTACTTCAAGATCATTATTTGGTTGTTGCTGTTGTTGAACTTTTGTTTGTGATACAGCACTACCAAGAACTGATGTTGATGACGATGATTCAAAATTGTCGACGGATTGTATCGACATTAGACGATTATTTTATTTAAGTTTAAGTAAATGAAAAATCTAAAATAACCACAAAGTTCATTGAGTACATTAGAAAGATTTTATTGGCATAAATAATGAGAGAAAAAGTTATATTATTTTTCAAAATTTTTTTGTTTGGAAACAAATTTTTTTATTAAAAAAGATGAATAAAAAAAATCAGTTTAGCTTGTTTTTCAATTTTCAATAATCTTTGTTTTGTTGCCTATGAACAATCTTTCTGTCTTGCATTTTCTTTATTGATTACTGACTCTTGTCTTTGTTCAATTTAAAGTGCATAAGTATGTTAAATATTAAAAAAAGAATAAGAAGTAAACAAACAATCTAATTAAAATTATCTTTATTTTATTAATATCTAGAAAATTACGAAACTAGATATAAAATATTTTTCATATTAAATCCTATGTCAAATATGTCAAAAAAACAAAGGACGAATGAAAAAATATCCTCGAAGTAGAAATACGATTGAAGAAAAATGGCTGTAATTATATAAACAACGCTATTCTATATTTATTTATGAATGGTTCGTCGATTCAACGAGTCATAAAACCTGTCTTTTCTTTTCTATTGATACTGCAAAAATATCATCAATAACAAGAACTAGAGATATTTTCGAGGGACAAAAAAATAATTCTAATAGGATATTTGACACATTGATGCAAACTAAATTGGTGTTATTGAATACTTAGTAAAAGGACAAGAAGAAAAATATTTTTTTTATTTTATATTTATAATAAATGATATTTGAAAAGAAATCTTATAAAAAAAAAAAACAGAAGAAAATGTTGTCGCTAGTATCTATGCCATTTTGTTATACACTAGTGACAATGGAATTTGTTATGTTTTAAAGAATTTTTTACATGCGAAAGAGTTATGAATTATATGTATCAGATAGTTTTATGAAAGATTTTATTATGACATGAGTAAACATTAAATATCCAATAAAAGTTTACGTCAGCAAATTAAGATTATTGATGAATGTAATAAATTCCAGCGGAAATTTTTAGTTTGCTTATGAAAGCATTATTTGAAGTAAAGGCATTGATACGTACTTAATATTGTTATTCTAATGATTCTTGATATATACTTCACGATTGTAGAATATATATATATAAATGATGAAGCGTGTATATCATGAAAGCGCACAATTAATTAGCTATAAAAAGTTTTTACAACGCGCATGGTTCTTACGTGAACAGATGGATTATTTTTTAGCGAGATATGGATGTATTTGAAAATATCCTCTTTTGAGACTATTTGTTTTTTTTTGTCTCAATCTATCAAAGTGCATAAACGCGTTGAGTATACTGCATGGTAGAGAGAAAAATGCGTCAATTAGGTTTTGCCTAATATATTCTCTAAATACAGTTCTCGATATGAAGAATAAAGAATCTTAAATGTATATATACATTTTAAAGTAAGGGTTAATTTTAATGTATTTTATTTGCTTAGCTTAATTCAAATAAATAGGTTTAATAAGAAAAAGAAATCGATCGTTATCAATTAGTAAATTAATCGATCAGTTTTGTTTCTTTTTTTTCATTGATATTTCTCTTGTTTTTTTCTATTCGATGAATCATATAATGTCTGTTGGCTATGCTCGTTTTGTTTTTTTTTTTGTGTAAATAAAATTTGCTAATGTCTATTACGACGAATAATATATCTATTGATAATCTCGATGAATTCGATCGACAAAAAAAACAAGCAGAAATGATTCGTCAATATTTACAAGTTACAAATATTGATGCAAATCCTTTACCTATAATACATACGACATCAGAATCTGATTCTTCGACAGCATTTACCACAAGTAAAAAAAGAATTCAAAGAAAAAAAACTCATCCTTGAATATAATTTTTTTTTATTGGCTTTATCTATAGCTCTATTACCATTATCATCACTTAATTTTAATGAACTTCGAAAAGATTTAAAACTAGCTGAAGAACGTGTTGAGCGTTTACGCCAAGAATTAAAAGAAATGCAAAGAAAACGTGATGAATCTTTATTAACAACATCACCACCACCATATGTACTACCATCAATTAATAAGACTAATGCAGATTTTTTATATCATAATCTTTCAACATGTATTAATAGAGGAATTATAGATAAAACATCACCATCCATTCTACAAGGAGTAAAATACTTCATGTAAATTTTTTCTATTGAACTCCTTGTTTTTTTTCTTTAAAGTTTTTCTTATCACAACAACAAAGTCCACGACAACTGACTAATAGTGCAATTTCATCATCATCATTACTATTACCTAGTTTTAATTCTGCTAATCATTTATCAACAAATCCAGGTGGGGTAAGCGCTGCTTTTGGTTTTCTGCATCCTTAATTTTATGATTTCTCACATTATTTAATTATTAATATATTTATTTATTATGTAGCTGATATATCTAAAGATCATCGACAACAACAATTTCTTTTAACAATGCGTCAACATCGTGAACAACTTATTGTCTATATTGATTCATTAAAACAGGCACTTAGTTCACTTGATCGATTAGCTTCATTAGAACCAACTCGTAGTGAAATTCATCTCGCTAATATGAAGTAATTGATTGATAAGTTTTCATTCGAAGTTCATTCCTTTTTTGTTTTATTAAAAGACTTGATACGATTCAACAAAAAAGCCGACAACTTCGTGCTCTAAAATCACATCGTTCATCTCAGCAATCTCCATTTATTGAATGTCGTATACGTCAATTAGAACATGATATAGTTTATATGTTAAGTGAACATCAAAAAGATGTACAAGCTAAACTTGAATTAAATGAACAACGAAGTCTTATGCTACTTAAAATAATGCAAGTAACAGATGAATTAGCTGCTGTTGATCAGCAAATACAACAGTAAGATCAAAGATTTCGTTGTTTTTTCTTTTCTTTTTTTTTTTTTGTTGTCGAAAATTAATATTAAATTTAGATTATTATCGCATACAACATCAAATATGGACATACACCGTACAAATTCATCTCTATCATCTAATGAGATAAATCAACAACAATCATTACGAGTTATTAATTTATCAAATAATATTGACGGAAGACGTGTTTCATTTCGAGAACCAATTGACAATAATTCCTTGACAAAATTAACTAATGGATATTATCTTCATCGTCATTAATAAATAGAAAAGAATCTCTCATTAATATTTTACATCTAATTAGTCTGATATTCGAACAGTATATAAACCAAATAAGAAAAATAAAAAAAGACAAATTAAACGCGAATCTCTTCTCATCTTTGCAATATATTAGTTTATATATAAATATATTCATGTTTTTTTTTTTATTCACGTGTGCTTTTTATTTTTAATAAAATACTGATTAATGCGTGATCTCTCATGAGATGTTCTATGGAAATGAATGATGATGATGTGATGGCGACATGAAGAAAAAAAGATGATAGGAATGGGAAAAAAGGTCTATACACACACATATATATATATACAGCTCAATTCTAAAGAAAGAAAAATGGGAATAAGATTGAAAGAAAAAAGAAAGAACAGAAAATGTACGTCATTTGTTTTCTTCTTCGTAATGCATTGGGATTTGGAAAAAGAAGATGAAGACATATGAAGTAAAAAAAAAGAAAAGAGAGGGAGAGAGAGAAAATGACAGTAGACTAAATGAGACACAAAAAATAGCAGTTCATTGTTACATGTACAGTACGGTAATCTCCGGTCAAATAATTAGATGAACGACGACAACGTCTACTCAGTAGGAGGTAGATAGGTACGTTAAATATTTCTCTCTTTCAATTGATTTGAACCGAGAGTTCATGTATAAAAAAAGACAATAAGGAGAAGAAAAAGCTTACGCAACAGAAAATCATGTAAGTAAATAGTTATATCGTATCAATTCATTATTTATTATCAGATAGTCGCGATAACTTTAAACAATAATTGCCAATGGGAATTAAAAACATTGATTTTGTTTTTTTTCTTGTCTGAAATTGATTATTTTGAAGAACAGATGAATAATAGTTGCTGTATTATAAATAAATAATCTCATTACATATAAGTACGTGACAAACATTTATTTTTTCTTTATTCATTTGAAGTTGCAATAAAATGCGAAAGTCTGCAACAACTATTCTTCCACGTTCTACATCAACTCATTTAACTTCTATTCAACGAAAAAATTCTTCATCTTCATCTTCAGCAACAACATCAACAGCAACACAATTTCCACATAGTACGAGTCATCATAATTGTCAAGAATTTATTTCAAATAATATAAATACAAAGATTCGTTCTCGGTCAATTTGTAGTCGTACAAATTTTTTTACAAGTCCAACAACACATGAACTATCTCGCTTCGAACCTATACTTAATCATGATACAGATTCATTAAAAATTGGTGACCGCATATATGTTAATGGTCAATGGTCAGGTATTATATTATATATTGGAGAAACAACATTTGGAACTGGTGATTGGGCTGGTGTTATACTTGATGATCCATCATTAGGTAAAACAAATGGTATTGTACGTGGTCGATGTTATTTTCAAACAACCAATAATCGTGGAATATTTTGTCGTTTAACTAAGCTTACTCGAGAAAAAAATTTATCTTGTGAAGTAGAACAAAAATGAGAGAAAAAAAAAACAAAATGTAAATATTTCGATACTAAAATTCTACATATATAATAAATAAGATAAACAAAACGAAAACAAGAAAAAAAAAATCAATGAAAAAGTCATTCTCTTTACATAATTGAACAACGTAAATTGTTATTATTTTTATGTAATTTTCTTTTACATTTACTTTTATGTTCATGTTTATTATTACCGAAACGTGTAAATAAACGTGAAAGATCACTAAATATTGAAGAACTATTTGTTGTTTGTTTATAATCGGATAAATAATCTGTCATTAATGTTTGATTATTAAGATAATCTTTGTCATCAGGTAATGGTATATGTACATCAATATCAGATGCATATATATTTTCTTTAACTAATGATTTTTCATATTCATTATTATTATTATTATTATTATTATTTGTAATTCTAATTGGTTGAAATGTTGTAGGAAATGGATTTGTTAAACCACAATGTAACCAATTAAACATTGATAATGGACGTGTCTGACGTACTTCATTATCAATATCACTTATTGGTTTACAAAAACTAAAACTACGTATTTGTTCGTCTTTTTTTATTGATCGAAGATTAACATCAGAATTTTTTTTAATTGGTATTGCATATTCAGGTTTTGTTTCTGTATAATTTGTTTCATCATTAGGTGATACCTTAGATGAATGTTTTGGACTAATTTGTGATATAGGAATTGATAATATTGGATTTTTATATGTCTTTTCATTGATGTGTTTTAATATTGATGACTAAAACAAACAAATAAAAATAAATAAGGATTCAAATATTGTACAAGTACAACATTTCGTATCTTTACCTAGAGTGGAGAGGGGGAGGGGGGGGGGGGGGGGGCGAAAATTCTTTAAGAAAGTGCTTTCATCTTCAGAATGCTAGAAATGATGATTAAGAAGGGTGGGACGGCATGACCCAACTCCTACAACAATAGACGACCTGCTAACATGCAGTTTCTCCTCTGAGACCTGTCCTAATTCTATTTATCTGCCGACGACATTGTTTGCTTATCATTATTTCACTGTCTAGTAGAGAAAGGCAAATTCTATTTCAAAATCTGATTTCTTTTCAAAATTACCACGAAGCTGTAGAAAACTTGGCACGAAGTCAAACATTTTGAACAGGAGACGTTTCTAAATCGAGAACGTTGCCCTTACTCTAATAAAAAAACGACAATGCTACGATCGTTGGTCAGCAATGAGGCTGAAGCTCTCAATTCTCCGCCTTTTGTCCTCCTCTGACGACGCTCTTAATTGATAAATAGCTTACATCATTTGTTTCATGTTGTCTTTTATTTAAACTTTTATCATCTATTGATAATGATGAATTTGATTTTTTTTCTTTTTTAATTAATGATGGTTTAACATAGATTAATTCTTGATTTGGATTATTTGAACGTAATTTACTGAATTCTCGTTCTAATTCTTCAGTAATTGAAGATTTTTCTGGTTTATTTATTGTTAATATTGATGATGATGTTTTTTTATTTAAAAATTTCTCTGTTGATTGTAAAGAATTTGGTAATAATTGAACAGGAATATTTAATGATTGTAAACCATTTGTTTTAAGAGTTTTTATTAAATTTCGAATTTCTAAACGTTCAAGTGATGTAAAACTTGAATGACTACGACTACGAGATCTTGCTGCTGATAAATGATGTGTTGAACCAGAACAGAGACTATCACGACTTAAATCTCGATGATGAGGACTGAAAAAGAAACAAATTCAACAAAAAAAAATATTTAATTGGATTAAAAATTAAGGCAAAAACAAAAACTAAACGACATACGTTAATGATGTACTTCGACTTGATGTTTGACGAAGTTGTCGGAAATCTTCCATAGCAGCATTCAATAATGGATCATGACGTAATGAACCATTTAAAATTTTTTGTAATGATGAATGACTACTACAAGTACTTAATGATGATGATGATGATGATGATAATGGTGATGGTTGTTTAGTAGAAATTATTGGAGTAGATCGATTTTTATTTTTAATAGAATTTATTGTATCTTCTTGATATATTGGATTATTAATAATTGGTATTTCATCTAATGTTGTTATACGAACAATATCTTGTTTAGAAGTTTGTTTTCGTTTTGGTGATGATGATAAATGTCTTTTATGTAATTGTTTATTTTGTTTTGGTAAATATGAATTATAATAATGATTTTCATGATTTAAAGACATTTCTTTTTCATAATTCATATTCAAATTTGATTGATATAAATGATTCATTGAATGCCATGAATGTGCTTTAAGTAAATTTGTTGAATTTTGTTGAAAATTCGACATAGATTTTGTTTTTGATGATTGATATGGATGATTTGCTATGGAATAACGTTGAGAATGTAATGGTGTATCAATAGAACGATGACGATTCATATGACTTGTAGATTGTTTTAAATGATTGTAACGTGTATTAGAATATGATGAAAATGGTTGTGAAGGTTTTGAAGGTGGATTATGATGTGGTGGATGAGATAGTATAAATGGTAATGGATAAGATATAGGTGGATGTGCTGGATATGATGAAGAAAAATATTGTTGAGAATGAGTTGGATATTGAAAAGGATTTGGAGACCATGGAAGAGAAAATCGAAGGCGAGGTGACTCCATATAAAATGGATAAGATATTGGTTGTTGCATTGTTAAATTCATATTTATGATTAACTAAATATGAGTTTTTTTATTTCTTGATATGATTATTTGATAGAAATAATTCTTACTGATGATGGGGTTTTTTTTTGAAAAAAAAATTAATATTCAATAGTTTATAATTAGTTTTTTGATCACATCACACTATTGAGTCAAGGTAGGCTATGTTTTTTTTTTTACTTCTTTTCTACTCTCCGCTATAAATCACGATATGGACACGGTTAAAGCTCAGTAAGTGAAGAGAATATATATATATGTACCTTCAAAGGTCATACTCTCATCGTGTCCGTATGTTCAACGAACCGAAACCGTGGCAACAATGAGAACAATAGACAATATGAATGAATGAATGAATTCATACATATAGATAAGTGATGTGTAGCTATATGTATTTATATACATATTCGTTATATCTGATACTCTCTCAAGAGAATATAAGATAGGAAAAAAAGAAGAAAATGAGTGTGCGTGCTCCTGTTCAATGTCTTCTTCATAGACATGTATATATCCTATCGACAATGTCATTTTTAACGAAAGCATTTGGTCAAAGTCATTTTGGATTAATGATGATTAATGTGTAGACAAAGAAATAAAGAAAAAGAAATCTTATATGAAATGTTCATCGATTTACAATCAGTTCAACTCATCGGATAATTTTAGATAAAATTAAATCGTATTTTTACGAGTTAAATTGTTACTTCATGGAAATAAATTTTGTCTTTTTTTTTTGTTTTTACAAATTTTATTGATTATTTTTGAAGAAAATAAACAAATTATGGTTCCGTCTCGTTTCATCGACAAAAATTTTTTTCCATTTTGTCAACAAGATACTAATAATAGAGAACATCAAGAATCACTACTTGTCTATTAAAATTGAACTTAGAAACATCACTGATAATAGCAATATTTTTGTTTCTTTCTTAATAATAACATTGGACAAGTAAGACTGTGGGCGTAGTTGGTGGCCTCCTCTTAACCCACAACCTCATTCATTTGGATCATTATCTATAAAACACTATTAGTGATCCACTTTTAAGGTGCTTTATTATCTTCTAAAAAAATGAATATTCATTATGTGTCCTTCATTAATCGAATCTTAACTTGCCGACCAAACGCTTAATTATTGCATTGTAGTCTGTCAAAGAAAGAAACATTGTCGATGAAACGGGATGATACTCAAATGATTAATCATTTTTTTTCTTTGCAAATATAATTATGACCAACGCAGACTGATTGCAAATGAAACTCTTGACTTAATGAGATCAAAAGAAAAGACATTTGAATGAACCTCAATAATAATAATCAGTTTACCCTCGAATCTATCCCATTTGGTGATCTCGCATTTAGATCTCGTCTCTGTTCATTAATGATTTATCAAATTAAAAGGAGATGGTAAATCTTTACTTATCTTTATGATTAGTCATTGGTTGTGCAGAATCAATATAATAATTCGGTTTCAACCAAATGACATGTCAACGATCATTGTTAAGATGCATATATTGAATACATAACGTTAGTAACCAATAACATGCAATTGAAAGTGAATTTTGTTAAGAAGTAAAAATAAACAATTTTATTTTTTTTTCAGTGTATGGAATCTGGACAGTTTCTCGCAGGTGTGAGTGTGTGGACGTGGAAAGTAATGTATGAGAATCTTCTCTTCATCTTGACCTACACTCGCATCTATGTCAGCAAAAAGCTCTAGGAAGCTACTGTCCGGACGATTAAATATAACATGTCTGTACTCTATAAGTGTTAATAACTTTTGTATTTATCTGGTTACTTTTTCTTATACCCGAATAATCAATATTTAGCACAAAAGATTTTATGCATATCCGATGAAAGAATAATCAATTGAAAAGAAAACTTTTGAGCAATTTCATATTGAATCTTTATTGAATAATAAAATTGACTTGTGATTCAATGAGTTCACTTGATCCAAATTTCAACATATTCAATATACGATTTAAAATTCATTGAAACCAATCGATATATTGGAATACTAACGTATAATATCAAAACATTTCTATCTAATGCCTGGATTAAAATTCAATAAAATGCTATCATGACTACTACATATAGAAATGATTATATTTTGTAAAACAATCTTTTTATTTCAATGTAATATTAAATTAAATAGAAATAACAATAAAACAGAAGAATTTTTGTTTTGTTTTTTTGTTTTGGTTAAATAAGTCTGTCGTTCTCTTATTGTTTTATAAAAGAAGACAATCAGTTTTTGTTAATGTATGACATGTATGACTTTGTCCAAGTTCACATCGACATGTTGTCATACTAAATGCATAGTTTGTTGGACAAACAAAATCATAACGAAGTAATGTACCATCTGGTGCTTGATTATTAGTTGTACAAAAATAAAATTTTGTACAATCATACATATCTCGATAAAGACCAGAACGTCGACCAGCACAATCAAATATTGGTGTTGAACCACCTGAAATACCTAATAATTGACCTAAACCACTTAATGCAAACATGGCTGATTGTGGAATATTTGATTGAATTGTTGTTGTTGTTGGTCTTATTGTGGTTGTTGTTGTTATTAATGGATGTGATACACAAAATGTTTCACTTGTTGCTTGACATGAACGACCGGTTGGCCAATCACATGTACATGCATCCATTGAAAATTCAAGTCCAGGTGGACAAAAAAATATATGATAACGTAATGAAGATAAATCATTACCTTCGCAAAAATAAAATATTGAACAATTTGTACGATCACGATAAATTCCATTACGACCAGTGTGATGACGAGCACATATATATTCAGCATTATATGTTTGATGTGCAACTGGTGGTGGTGGTGGTGCTGCTGTTGATTCAACAATAGGTGTATAACTTGTGGTACCTGATAAAACACTAAGAGCATTTAATAATTGTTGTAAATTATTAGGTATTATTGGTGATGCTGGTAAATTTTGAGCTTGTACATTAACAAAACGAACTGTTGGAGCACCAGTAACAGGAGCAATACCAGCTGGCATTCGCTGTTGTATAGGAATTGATGGTGCACTTGTTGCTGGTACAGGAAGATTGAGAGTTGAAAAAACTTGTCGAGTTATTGGAAATGGTTCCGTATTACAAAAGAAACCAGAAAATTCTTAAATATATAATGAAATATTATAACTATATATATCAACTTTAATTATACATACCATCATTATCAATACTCCATATAAATACACCGCCAAGTTGTTCTGCTTTTGCATATTGTGCCTATATCAATATATGTTTATATGTATAGTAAAACTTTTCTATTACGAACATTATCAAGGCTATAGAAAAAAAGCGTTCGCTGAAAGAAGGTATTCAGTTTAGGGAGTTGACATATGATTTGCTGTGATATGCAAAAATTTTCCGAAAATATCTCTTTCTACACTGTTCTAGTTATCTAAGTTCTTGTTCATCTATTTTCATCGATATGTCTCGAATTGAAAATATGAAATTTCGTTCTCGTTTTAAACTCTCTAATATTATTCGTCTTTGTGCTTTTGAAGTAATATCAATGTCAATCACGTTTTAGTCTAACTCAGTAATTAATTCAATTCTATTCTAACAAATTAAGCTCATGACGTAATGTCATTCTTTCTTCTACATATAAAACAATCAAACAATGCATTAAATCTGCATATTGATAGACAATAGAAAGAGATAAAAAAAAACAAACATTGTGCATGTGTTCACTGTAAAAAGGTTATTATAGCAAGAGGGACTAAAAATGAACGCTTCTGACTCCATGAGACTTCAAGTTTGAAGTCTTTATTATTCTTTATTCGGATTTTACTGTGTATATTTATATATATGATCTATCGATTTATTTTATTCATAAAAATTTACTTTAAGTGCTGCCGAATCAACATCTTCATAAGTAATCCATTGATCACCATTTGTCATATACCATGCTTTTTCAGAATCTAACCATACTCGTTGCCAATTTTGAGATTGTCCTTTTTCACAAACCTAATAGAATACAACACAAAAAAATCAAATTATAGATATTTTTTCTTTTCGCAATATCAATAAGAGAAAAATATTAACCTCATAATATGAAAGAAAACCTCTAGTTTTTGTATATCGACCAGGATAACCTGGACCATTAGCTAGAAAATACAATGATCAAAAAAATGAATAATAAATTTAATTAAATAAAAAACAAACAAAATAAAACTAACCCGGTGCATGAAGACTTGTCTGTCTACTTGATAATGTAAATGAACGACCATAAGCTGGAATACCAATAATAATTTTTCCTCGTGGTATACCAAGACTAAGCCATAATTTAACAAGACCATCCTATAACATTCATAGTCAAGAAAACAAAATTAATTATGATAATCCTTCATTTTACTTACAACATTACGAAGTGATTCAGCTTCTACTTGATAATGTTGATGAAATAATGGTGCGAAAACACCTGTTTTTTCATCCCATGGACCTAATTATAATATATATATATATGACAAAACTTATCGAATTATATTTTGTTATTTATTTACCGTAAAAATCAAAAGTCATTAAATTGATATAATCTACAAGACTAAGAAGTAAAAAAAACACAAAATTATCGATGATAAATAATCTCTTTTTTTATTAATATTACTTTCCAATTTTTTCAATATCATATACTTTCAAAAGATTTTCTACAAATGGTGCAGCTGTCAATGTTATAATTGATCGTAACATTAATCGTTTTTGTTTGATTAATTCCTAAATAAATGAAGAAATTTTTCTTTTTTTTTCTTTTGATTAATTTTTAAAAAAGAAACCTCAATTAATGTTGTTAGTGCTGCTTTATCTTCTGGAACATCTGCATCAAGAAATTCAAGTGCTATATCAATTCCATCAAAACCATATGTCGCCACATACCTTAAATATATAAACAAAAACAAAAAAGAGTTTGATAATGAAAGTCAAACAATTAAAATTACCATATAAGACTACGAACAAGCTGTGCAGCCATTTTTGACTGTTTTAAATAT